AAACAAAAATGTCAGCATGACTGGCTACTACAAGAATAAGTAAGCTGTTCACCAGGAAGACATCAAGGCTAGCAATCAAGTTCCTTCAGGACAAACTCCCCTCTAAGAGTGAAACTCAAAGGGAACACACAAACATGTAAGCTTGCTGGCGAACACATTGGTCTACTGGTGAGTGGAAGAGGGGAAAAGGCAGCAATGAAGAAATGGGCTGAGTTCAACCACAGTCCATTGACTCCTGTGACCTGGAAATGAGAGAGAGAAGAGGAAAGGCTGTTTTTTGTTTTTGTTTTTTTTGATAAAAGAAACAAGGGTAAATTGCTACAATTTGATGAACCTGACCTATACCAGAGGTTGTTACTCTAAATACCAACAGAGAGAGAAGCAGTCTTCACATCAAGTATCAATGCTATCCCCTCTGTACACAGGGTAGATAGGGACGGGAAACTTAAACATTGGCTACCTAAAATGCGGGGATGATAAAGGCATGAAGTGACTGGCTTACAAGGTTTGAAGAGGGAGGTTAGTTTAAGAGTATGGGGGGGGAAAAAGAGTCCCCACTGAATAGATTTCATCTTGTCTAGATGGGTCTGGTGAAAAGAGATGGGGATAAGATTCATATGATTCAATAGTGAATAATTCTTATCATGACTTAATTGCGACTGTCACAATTGTAAAGGTAGAAATTTTGTAACAAAAAAAGGGGAGTGGTTAATGTTACAGTACAGAAATAGAAAACCCTAGGACCATCAAGAGAGAAGTGCACAGCAGAATGCAGGACCTTATCCAGAGAAGCAGTGACTCCTGAGATGGAGGCAGAGATGGGGGCATGGAGAGTGGGACCGGCTGAAGACTCTAGATTCATGGGAAGAGAGGGACTAAGAGCTGGTGGCCAGGAGCCAGACTTGCAGAATGTGCCCTTTGGAGATGTAAATTATTATGTATGCCTGAGTGTCTTTTTGTTGTTGTTTTTTTTCTTTTTAAAAGGTAAAGTGAATAGAGAGAAATACTGTTAAC